CCACACATGCCTTTTTCCAAAAGAGCTCTTACGCAAAAAGGCTTCTTCCTTGTAGAATGAGGATTACCAATTGTTCAAAAAACTCTGTTTTTTCAATTTATTGTTGAAAGAATGAACTTTCAGAGTGGACGTAACTCAAGTTTTGTCGGAAAAATGGCTGTTTTTACAACAAAACCGTGTAGTCTAGACATAGCCTTAGTGTGAGAAGGCTTGGGCCCATAGGCCAGAATTTTCATAAGTGGCTAATAACTTCAGATGTCCTTAGCCATTTTTGGATGCCTAACTTGAGAGACCCTAAAGCAGCTAAATTTTCAGAGCGTGCTGAGGATGCACATTCTAAAGATCAGTCCCCTTCAAGCTGTATTTTATTGGCTCCCAGAGTCTGAGGTACCCATAATCATGAATCTTTTCAGGAAATCTTGGCCATAATGCCTAGGCTAGTATATAACTATATACCTATCTTGGTACTTCCATGGCTTCAGCACTAGTAATAGTATCTGACAACCTCTTAATCAGTAATTCATAAGTACTGTGAGGAATGGAAGTGGTGTTATCCCCATTTTCCAGAGGGGAACCGAGGCACAGGGAGACTAAGTGACTTGCCTGGGTCATGTAGGAAATCTGTTATTAAATCAGGAATTCAACCCCAATCTCTTCAGTCTTAATCCAGTGTTTTATCTCCTGTGCTATGAAAGGAGAGAGAAGGGAGCCCTCTTTGTTTAAATGCTTGCCATTTCTGCCCATTTTTTCAGTAAGTGTGGAGATTACAGGCTTCTCTTTCAACTGACTACATTGTAACCCAGTTAATAGCACTAAAGACTTGTGTAACATGAATGGCTTGCAATGTTCTTTGCTGCCAGACAAGGTAATTTGCTTGACAACCATGAGATGTACCAAGGTAGGTGAGAGAAGTAATCTCCTACCCCTCCCTTCACCCCGCTGAGGAACTTTAAGGAGCCCACCTTTATGATTTCATTATGAAATTTTCTTACATTTAAAGACCGCTTGAAATATATGTTTATGTTCTCCCCCTCCCCGCTCCCCAGCACCATCTGTTCTCTGTCAGCTTCAGCATAAAAACTATGAGGAACTAGATAGATCAGGGCTCCTTTTTACAGGGTCCTTTAATGCTTTCTAGTGCATTATGACTATTGACACCTGCAGTAGCAGCCGTCTAAGCTCTGACTAATGGCTTCCTGTATCTACTTTTAGCATTGTCTGCTAATATTCAGTCTTTGAAATGATTCCCAGCTGTTGGATCCTTCCAAAGAGGGTGTCTTGCCAGACTTAGGGATATGAATCCCACTCACACAATTGCCAGGCAGCTTTTAATGGCTAAATGAAAAAGCTGTTCTCACCCAATGGAGAATTTGCAAATGCAATTTGAAAAACATTCAAGATTTTACTTAGAAGGATTCTTGCAGGGCCCTTACACTTTCAGAGCATTTGAACATATAAGGCCATTTGTTAACAGAAATGATTACATCACAGTTGAGCTTAATACTATGGAGTCTGTTCAAGTAAGATGTAGCTTGATTGCTTTATCCCCACATGGCTCTAGGCTCTAAGCTAACAAAAACAACCGATTTGCAGAAGGCACTATTCTGTAACCCTCACAGAAGGCATGAATGGAAAGAGCCATTTTTCCCTGTCTTAAATTTATTTTTCACAGTTTGACTCTAGTGCTTGGGGAAAGTATTTTTAGCTGAGCCCCATGAAACCGGAGATCTTCTACTTAGCCCGAAAACAGTAACAGTGTTTTCCCCCCATTGCTCTGTCAATAGAATTCAGAACTGACCCAGGAGAGGCACTGTTCGTAATGGGAGCTAAGCTCATTCTCCTTGGCCTCTCTGAACACATCCAACGAGGATGCCAGTTCATGCTAACAATGATAGCGATTTTTACAAAGTGAAAACTGAGAACTGAACTGAGTCCCTGTCCATTTGGCCATGGAATAGGACAGGACTTGATTTCACCATCACTATTTAGATGCTGCAGAAATTATTTGGGCCCAACACACGTGGCATCTTCCAAAATATCTAAATGTTAATTTTCAGAAGGGGTAGCTGGGTTAGTCTGTTTCAATGAAAACAATGAGGAGTCCCACGGCACCTTAAAGACTAATGCATTTATTTGAGCATAAGCTTTTCTGGGCTGCACATCACATTGTCTCCAGCCCACAAAAGCTGATACCCACATAAATTTATTAGTGCTTAAGGTGCCACAAGACTCCCCATAGTTTTTAAATATTAAATGTTGTTTTATTCTTTGTCCTAAAGCTTCCACAGCATGGTGTGACCTAAGCCATGTGGCACTGGCTGGCAATAATACCTAGCAGCTGTTGCCAAAGGAAGCAATGGCTACAGGAAGTGACCAAGGACCCTACACTCTGGCAAAGGAATTTCTTTACTAACCAATAATGAGCGCGAGAATGCACACGGTCACTGTGAAATTCATCCCTTGTGTATCTAGCCAATGTGTTTATAAATGAAAGACCAAACTTCAGTTGCCTTTAGGCAGAGTTGATGTGCCTTTGTCATCATTAGAAAACCTCTTTTATGTGTACTGCTACGTTGTGGTATTGCAGCAGTATAGTTTGTGTTTATACTTAAAATAAATTACTACCACATTTCAGATCAGATTGTGTAATAAGTGTGGGCAAATGTTGACTTTTCAATGGTGGTAGTTGTACTTCAGTAATAGTTACTATAACATCCATGGCTTATAAAAATGTTGACGCTTTTAAATGGTCAGGCACATGCTGCTAAGTTCTAACCACAATCCTACTGAGTTTCTACTCACTGACAATGTACATCCTTTAGTAATTAAGCCAGTACTAAGTAGAGCTTGGCAGGAATGAGATTTCCCATTTTCCAGCAAATGCAATTATTTTAAAATTTCACCTCTTCCAAAAATGGAGTGGGGTTTTATATTAATATCAAGGAAAAATTAAATTCTGGGCTGGGTTTTTTTTGACACTCTGAACTTTTGTTTTGATAAAACAAACACTTAATTTCAATTTTTTTAAAAACTTTTTAAAAAGTGTTTTTATAGAAAAACACTATTTCATTTGGAAAAGTCATTTTGAAATGAAAATCAGTGTTTGATCTTGAAAAGTGCCCAAATAGGATGTTTCAACATTATTGAAATGCTTATTTTCATCATTTTTTTAATTGTTAAAGTTGGCATGGCTTTTCAAAGCATTTTGATGAAAATGGCATTTTTTTGTTGAGGAGGGGAGGTCTTGATGACAAAATTCAGACCAGCACTATTGTGTGTAATGCTTTTTCTCTACTATCTTACAACATCCTTTTTTAGCATGAAGTGTCACCTGGCATGTAGTCTGTAATATGTTTCTGCCTGGTTTCAAACAGGAGACCTTTTGCATGTTAGACAAACATGATAACCACTACACTACAGAAACCCATTGTTACTGTCCCTTGGTGGCTATGAGCCATGTGACCAGCAACTGTAACCTACACCAGTACAAGCAAACTTAGTGTAATTGTGATGTTTCTTGATAAATGTGGGTGTAATGCTACTCTTAATACAATGCACCAAATTCCATTGCAATAAGTTTTGGGTGAGTATTTGTAATTAAAATTGTACCATTTGCATGGACACGCTCTGTATTTACTTCAGCTGTAGAATGTACTCCAGACTAAATCTTGGAATTTTTAAATTACAAGAGGGAGAAGTAAAATAACTGAAGTTTTCTTTGGGGAGCTCTAATTTCTTACCTGAGTTTTCTTGTATTGCTTTTACTTGAATAATTTCAAACCAACAGGATTTTTGTAAATAAACACTTGACATGCCATTACTTTGCAATATGATCAGGTACCTTGTGTCTACATAGGAAGGTTAATTTAAACTGGAAAAGAACCTAATGGTTTTATTTGCAACCAAATGTTGTGTTTGAAGAAATTGCCCTCAAGAAGCTCCACAATTATCTGCAACTTTGAAAGAGTTGAAGAGGAGCCCAACTGATGTTAGCTCACATACAGAAGAATCCCATGGATATAACAGACAAATGAACAATCTGTCTCATCATATGCTGACTCCTATGGGTTATAAACAAGTTTCTTTAAAAGTCCCTCACTACAGAATTTTGCATAAGGAAATGTAATGCTCCAAGGACTATACTGGATGAAAAATATGCATTTTAAACAATGCCTTACAGATACATAAGAATGAACATTTACATCAGTACTCTGCACAGAAGTGTATAACCCTTGGCCTCCATGAGACTATTCATGTCAATGAACTCCCACCAGCATGAGACACAGTTCCATAATCAGGTTCTTTAACGCATGGGCTACATTTACAGTCAGCCTGAACTCACTGAGATTACTTCCAGATAGTGCTCCAGCCCACTCCAAATCTAAATTTCATGACACTGACACTAGCTCTTCAGGGGGGAAATTTCTACCAGCAGCCTTCAGGCTTGCTCCCAGAATTGCAGTTTGGAGAGGCTGAGTTACTGTGCATCCCAAAGTCCAGAAGGTGCAGCTTCAAAACTGCAACTGAGCATAGGTCAGAATTTTTGGGATGCACAGAACATGTTTGCCAAAAGTTGTATGTCCAGAATACAGGCATACAGCTTATATGTCTCACGTTGAGGCCACTCTGAAAACTGGATCCTAACTGTTATTTTCATTGTGGTTTGGGGGTTAGGCTCCCCCCACGCCCTATGTGACTATGCAGTCGTCCATAGTACTACTACCATATGTGTTTATACTGCACTCCTAAGACATTTCCTGTGACATGTTTTGATTTACTTCTGTGTACGTGTTTGAATATCCGAGTGGTTTAATTTTAAACCTAACAAAGGGGTGTGTTGGAGAGGGAGAAAGGGCCTGTTTTTCTGTCCTTCTCTAACAAGTCAAGAAGAGTGAAAAGCAAAGGCCTGGATGTAATTCTCCATGTCCTGTGTAATTTTTGCTTAAAACATGCTTGAGTTGACAAAGATCTAATTCCTGCCTTGGTGTTCTTTGTTACAGGTCTCTACAGAACTAAGAATACTGAAAGCAATCTCACACCCCAGAATGGATCCGGTCATGCATTTTGTTTCACTTCTATTGGTAATCTCTTCTGTATGTGCAGGTAAGTTTCAGCCAACACAAGGGGAGAAGGGGTTTGTGACCACAGTATTTGTAACAGGAAAGTGCAGCTGTAGGTCAGGTGTTTTTTTAGCCCTTAATCCTGTGTCTGCCTGAAGTTTCTAGCAAGAGCAATATGGGGAAAACATGCTACAGGATTAATTCCCCCAATCCCTCCAGCCTCCCTAGTTTAGCACAGCTTCATTAAAGGCACAAAGGAGGAAACCAAATAATTTTTTCAGCTCCTTAGTAAACATTATTAGAATGTGAAAAAGTCAAGTTTATAAAGTAGCCCAAGAGCTGTTCTGAGAGGTGCATTCTGGGCATTTTATTGCATTTTCCTCACTCTGCCTTCATGGATAGAATATCTGAAATTCTTGGGAGAGCAAAAAGCCCATCCTATCTCGAAATGCTTCCTTTGTCCCTCTATAGGTGATGCTCATAAAAGCATTTTATGCATTATGTTCGGTCTCTCCATGCTACAGCTCTCCTCCCAGTGGTTTGCTTTGTATTCTAAGGGTGCCTGATTTCTGTGTTGTTGTTTTTTAAACACCTACTCACCCAATGTAACCTCTAAAGCAACAACATTAGGGAATTTTAGACAGGAAAGGAAATGGAGATGATTCCCTGTAGAGTGCCCTGAAGTGGAGCTGACATCTTAGTGTAAAAACACAAGGGGATTCATAGATAAGACTGAAATTTCACCTGTGATGAAGTAAATGGTCATTAGAGAGCCAGTTAACCCTGCTAGGGCCTGATGTTTCAGTCCTGTGGCTGGGAATGGATATATTCCTGGAGAACAGACTCCGATTGGACTGTAGTTTCCACACGGCTCCTCATGTGAATGGGTTAAGGATGGAGCTTGGGACTTAAACTCTGAATGGTCCTGGCTTTTGCTAATTTGAATTCAAATCATAAGAATAAACCCCCTCCCTTAACCTCTGATTCCTTCTTTGCCTGTCGTAGACTGTCGTAGACTATCAGTTTCTCAGTGCTGAGGTTGTCTTTTCTTGACCACTGGAAAAACATCCATGCTAAACAAACAAATAATAACGAGCTGGCTTTTACCCATCCAACTTAGCCTGTTTGGAAAATTATACCGCTAAATTTGACTTAGCTGTCCATTCATGTCTGTGATTGATTTGTAGTCTTGATTTGAGCACAGTTTCAATTATCCTTGTCCCTGATAGAACCCTTGAACATCTTTCAACTGTTGTCTATTCAAATTAGTGGTTTTTTTCCCCTCAGGCATCTGCTTCTAGTGCAAGTTTCATCTACTGCCTGAGTTATGTTATGTATCTTTTTTTCAGGCTACTCTAATTGATTCTAGGAGTCTTCCAGTACAAATCAGAAGCCTGATTCTGATCTTTTCTTCTCCAGCGCTACTCAGGAGAAATACCATTGACACCAGTGGAATTACTCCTGTTTTCAAACTGGTGCACATATCTGGTTTGAGCCCAGGATATTTGTCAGTGCATGAGTCCCTGCTCCACAGATGATTGGCATTCTTTGACTTGATCCCTGCATTTTTATGGGAACGCATGGAGAGCCAGGACACATGTTGCACACATGAAATGTTTCTTGCTACCCTGGATAACTGGTACTTTGGCATCTCAATAAAGGGTGTCCTTAAGAGACACCAAACCAGTGGCTGATCTAATTCTATTGTTTTCTTAAGAGGTGGAGTTGATTTGGAATGTGTCAGGAAACTGAATGCAGATGGACAGATTTTGTTCAGGATGTTACAGAATTCCAGTTGTCCTTCTGCTTCTCCAATGGCAAAAGAATACAAAATATTGGCTCTTTAATCATCACAGTATTTCCTGAGCATCAGCACTGGAACACTTGATAGTGATCGAGTCTTAAAACTGATCCACATTGACTGCCTGGCCCCTCAGTGGGAATGTATTTATGTCCATTACAAAAACAAAGGCCTCCTCATTGGTCTAGATGTCTTGTGAGAAGTCCCTGACCCCACTGAGATTTACCATTGTCTTCAGTGGAGCCAGGATTTCACCCCATATCCATTGTCCTAGATATGGAGTGATCTTGCAGATTGATCTAGTACCTCAACTTTGCTGCATTTATTTTAAGAGGGAAAGAACATGGGAATCACACAGGACAAAGTTCAAAGAGCTGGTGAGACCCTGCAACTCCCATTGATACGAGAGGGTTTATTGAGGTCCATGGGAGTTTGAACAATCTTCTTCTGTTAGGAAATTTTTAACTCTCATGAAATACACACACATCTTGTTGAACTATAGTAGACATGTTGCTAATATGTTGGGTAAGATTTAAAATGTCCCTGCTTTAATACTTGTAACATGAGATGCCCTTGGATTTGATGTAGGAGCATAAATGAGACAAACCTGTCCTTGTGATCAGAAAGCAAATAGGTATGTGGAGACGAGTGATGTGCAAACCTCAAGAGGGAGAATCCTTATTTTCTTTGACTTTGTGTCTTTCCATCTTTTATTCCTCTCGTGAGATTCCTAGCTCTTCCTGGCTTTGGTCAGGCTGGAAACTCCCTGAAAACCATCATGTGATGGTATTTAAACCACTCATGCTTCCCATCCTAGCTGAAGGGCAAAGTTGCAGAAATGTACGTTCCCCTCCACCTCCCTCCTGCCCTCTTTAGTTTACCAAACCACACAGATATTGTTTAGCATTAGCTAATGTATTAGGTGATGGTTCAGGTTGGGTCTTCTTTTCTCCCTTTTCATTTGCTCCTGAGAGCAGACATTTATGTGCAGCCAGTGACAGGCTGCCTACATTCTAGCTGGATAGTAGTAGAGAGGTAGCTGTGTTAGTCTGATCTTGCTAAAACAAAAGGAAAAACTATGTAGCACTTTAAAGACTAACAAGATGGTTTAATAGGTAATGAGCTTTCGTGGGCCAGACCCACTTTCTCATCACCTATTAAACCATCTTGTTAGTCTTTAAAGTGCTACATATATTCTAGCTGGACATTGATAGGCAGAGCTGTAGCATTAAGGGCAAAACACTCCCCTTTTTTTCTACCGCTGTCCAGGAGCAGTGGGATCAGTGACATTCTGCTGTGCAGGGTAATAGAACTGTTTGTGCTGCTTGAGTCCAGCAGAGCGTGTTCCCGAAGTAATAGTTCACTTTCTTTTTATTGTGACTCGTACATAGCCCAGTCAAGATGGGGCATCTCTGCATTTCATGGATAAGGCATCCTCTTTGAATGCATTATCGAGGCATAGATGTGACACTTTCTTGAGTGAAGCAGGGATCATTTGTCATCTTCCCTTCGTCTCTATCAACAGAAGCAGCTCCACTCTGTCCAGATCAGGATCCTGAGCTGGCACCCTGGAACGCTGGGCATGATGAAGATCAACATATTGAAATTGGCAAAGGCAGGAAGCTGCTTCTCTCTTCCTCTGCAACTGTCCACTCGATCCTCATCACAGACGGAGGTAAATCCTGCTGCCAGCCTGTGAGCCAAGCGGGAACAAGGACTCTCCATTAGATCTACTTAGAGCAGCACAGAAGGCACAGGGACAGCTTGCTGGGGGTGCTCCCTGTTAGAGCAAATATTGGATAATGCTAGCTCCAGTTTTGGTACCAGGGTGGGTGGTGGTAGGGATGATATCACCTCTGGGCACTAAGAGTGACTTGTTTGTTGTCCTTTCGGGAGAGCTTGCAAATGTGCGTCAACTTGCTTAGTAGTTCTAGTCCTACAATGTCCTTTGTAAACCCGGTCCTAGTAATTCTCTGTAATGTCCCAATGAAGCAACACTATTCTTCGGGGCTCAGAACAAGGCAGATGTGTGTCCACACTTTGCCTGGAAGGACAGTATCGTGTTTTGTTGCAGAAGACTGCTAGTATTAGTAGCTTTTATTCAGTCTTAACTCCGAAGTGCTTGTGCAGTCTTGGTTTCCTTCCTTCTCCGTGCAAAACTCCACTGACTTCAGTCTGAGATTGTTTTTCCACACAGGCAAATAAGCACTTTAGGATCTGGAGCTAAAGCTGTTTTGGGGAATATGTTTGGCATGTATCTCTGATGTAATTGGGAAGGCTGACCTGTCTGTCTGCACAATAGCAGCACTAGGTCTGATGACTTACTGTGTTTTAAAACTTCATACCATTATTTTTCCTTAGGAAAACTGGTAATTAAAGACAAAACACAGCCTATCATTTTGCGAACTCGACATATATTGATTGAAAATGGAGGAGAGTTACATATTGGCAGTGAGCTGTGTCCATATCAAAGTAATGTGACTATCATCTTATATGGACGGTATGTATCTAAATCGCATGAATCCCCTAACTCAGCACTATATCTCTATATTGCACATTCTCTTTCTCTACAGAGATACAAAAAATCATCATAAATTAAGGTTTCACTGATGTTAAATATAAACCATACTCTATGGGAGGCTACTTGGCCAATTGGGCTAATTTAACTTGGGGGGGGGGAGAAGGGAAGAAACTCTGGGATGTGAGTCCAAGACCGGTTGGACACATCAGAAAAATGTGTGATGTCTCATTACTAATTGTTCTCATTAGCTATCTTGCTTAAGGAATTTTATAGCCTCTCCATTCTTTCAGATATTTTTAAAGTCACAAGAAAAACACCTCCACATTTCCATTATTTTCATACAGCTACCATGGTCTGAAAATTCTCATGCCTAAATTTTTCCTTTTCTGTGTGAGGTAACTCAGGCAAAGCATTAGACTTTTTTTTTAGGCAATGTGCTGTAATATTTCAACTTTGTGTTCACTCATCTTGGTTCACACACCGAGATGGAACTGATATCATTCCTTACTTCAGCTAGAGATGTGGTTATTTTTATACAGTTACAGCCAGGAGCATAGATGCAAGTATACCAGCATAACCTATTCCCTTTCCTACATGGTAAAAGCTATCCTTGTGTTAGCCCATTTCGCCAATAAAACTGTGTCCATACTAGGTGTGTTGCTTTACTACCTGTACAACTTTTGTGCATCAAGACTCCAAAGTATTCTAAAGTGGAATGTCAATAGTAATCTAAAAAAACAACAAACTAGTGATTAATGAACCAGCTGCATTTTCTGTGTCCTAAATTGTCTCTGACCCCTGTTGTTAGTGTTATTTCAAACAAAGACTATTTTTGATACTGTCCCAGATTTTGTATTCCTTGGGGTCTCTTGAAAGAAATACTTTCTAAACCATGTTGCTTCCTCTCCTGTTGGGCTTTGGTATTAGGCTTGTTGGCTGAATAGTAAAATATTCTCAGTCATTCATAAATGTGTGCTTTTTTTAAAAAAAAAAACCCTACAGAGCAGATGATGGTGTCCAGCCAGACGCTTACTTTGGGCAAAAATATATTGGGGTCGGTGAAGGTGGAACCCTTGAGATCCATGGTGAGAAAAAGTTGTCCTGGACTTTTCTCAACAAGACTCTCCACCCTGGTGGCATGGAAGAAGGCGGCTACTACTTTGAAAGGAGCTGGGGGCATCGCGGTGTCATTGTCCATGTTATCGATCCAAAGACAGGGGCAGTCATCCATTCAGATCGGTGAGTCGGTTTAGAGCCATCGCACTCTGGAAGCCGTTGGTATTACCTTAGAGCCCAGCATCCCCGTCAGATCAATGGGAATTTCCAGTAACAGATTTCTGTTGGTCTCATTGTATGTCTCGTTATAGCTCTTTGCAATTCAGTAGTCTCCATAAGCCTATGTAGGGCCCAATCCTGCAAAATGACACGTCTTCAACTCCCTGCAAAGTCAGCAAGAGTAGATGGCACTCTGCACGCTGAAGGATTAGGTCCTTATTGTGGTTCAAAGAGGGACATATCACAGAGTCTTTAGGTTTCTTGGAGCAGTTTACCCAGAAGCTCCCTTTCTGATGAGTCATTAGCAAGCAGTAGATTTATTACATACAAAATTATTTGTGGTAGTTGTGGCCCAACACACTTGTGCTGGGAGCTCTGAAAGACAGAACAGAAACATGGATCTGGCCCCAGCAAGCTTAACATCTAAGCAAACCAGCAACCTAACCAGGCACTGCAGAGCTGCCTCGGGCAAACATCTCATTGACTTCCAAGGAGGTATGGAGCTTCTGGCTCAGTTCCGACTGTAGCAGCAGTGTAGTTTCACACCCATGCATTTTTCTGTGTGCAGGTTGGACCTCCCTGGTCTGGCACCCTTGGGACCTGACCGGTCCCAAACAAGAGAATTTGTTGGATCGGGGAAGTCCCCTGCCACTGGTCCCCAAGTCCTCTACTGGACCAGTGCCACCGTCTGAGCTGGCACCCTGTCTCCGGCCCCTCTTACTGCTAGGCCAGCTGGACTCCATGCCCAGCTGCCACAGGCTCTGGCTTCAGCCATGGGCTCTAGCTCAGGCCCGGGCTCTGTTGCCACAGGCTGCTAGGGACTGCTGCAGGGCTCCAGCCACAGCTCTGCACTTCCACAGGCTCTGGCTCTGGCCCCTAGCTGGTGCTACCCCAGCCTTGGCCGGCCCTCCTGCCATTAGGCTCCTGGGCTCTCTGGTCCAGGAGCATCCATGGTCCTGATGGACCATGAATGTTTCCAGTCCAGAGAGTGCCAGTTGTTGGAGGCACAACCTGTATTGACTTCACTCAAACTTATGCCCCTTCTTGAAGAAAATGTTACTACTAATTAAGACAATTAGCAGTTTACACGGGATGACATATAATGGTATTTGTAGCCATATAAATCTGTAGATCTCTATATAATACCTGTTTTTAATCTAGAGGAAACGTACAGAAGGTGTGATGCTCCCTGATATAAATGCTGCTTTTCATTACTTTTAGGTTCGATACCTACAAACTGAAAGGGGAGAGTGCCCGTCTGGTCCAGTATTTGAGAGAGATTGACAATGGCATGATCCTGTCAGTGGCAGTGAATGATGAAGGGTCTAGGAACTTGGATGACTCAGCCAGGAAAGCAATGACCAAACTGGGCAGCAAGCATTTCCTTCATCTTGGATTTAGGTATGTGCCTATCCTGCCAATTCTGCCAGCACAGAGCCCTTCTTATGCTTTTCATCTACCCGGATAATTTCCACTCTCTCTCTTTCAAAGGCACAATGTTCTTTAACTCAAAAAAGTTTTCCTTTTCTCCATGCAAACTTTTTAGCAATGAATTAAATAGTTTGATGCATTCAGTGTCTATATTGGGCATTTTTATTAAGAGATTGAGAAATAATGCATGATTGACATTAAAAGGGATGCATTTTTCCATGATAACCCCACATACTATTCCTGTTTGTTTTGATGCCAGACCCTAGAGATTTGAAGTGCACATGTAAATATACCCAGTGTACTGTGTGTGTGTGTGTGTGTGTGTGTGTGTGTGTGTGTGTGTGTGTGTGTGTGTGTATAATAATTCTCTTTGGTAAACAAACTTTAAGGCTTGTGTAGCAGCCATCTAGCTCTGGTTAAATACATAGATATTCTAGAAAGATATTATTTAACTAATCGTGTGTGTGTGTGTGTGTGTGTGTGTGTGTGTGTGTGTGTGTGTGTGTGTGTGTTGCACAGATCCCATAATTCAGTATGCATATTTTTACCCTGTGAACTGTAAAACGCCTTTGGCTGATGTATAGTGTATGTTGGCGCAAACACTTTTTTAGAGCATATGTGCTGTTTGCCTAGTTCGAGTCTTAGTTTATCACCTTGCTTTGCAAAAAAAGTATTTATTACCCAGTAGTCATAGTCTATGTAAACTCTGAAGGAGTTGTGGACCATTTTAAAAAATCCTTCAGAAACTGAGCCAAAGGCCCATCTTTGGCACATGCATCCTCGCAATTAGGCATCTGCAGCTGGTCTACATATTCAGAGTGGTCTATAAGGAAATTTAATTGTTAGTACAAATTCCCTGTAACATCCAAGAGATGCAATACAGAGAATTCCTAATAAAATAACTTGTCCTTCAAATATAGGAAAAAACACTCACTACACAAAAACCCCACCACAATCTTTGAAAATTTTCCTCTCAGAGCCCATTTGATGGCTCAATGACTTGTCAGAATTCCATTTCTGCAGTTCTAGTTTTGAGACAGACAAAGATTTTGAAAATCCTATTTCTTTTTTTCCAGTTCAGCAGAGGGGGGAGGGTTTTTTCATACTCGTGAAAGGAAACTGCTCCTGACACTTTTCGCATTTAATTGTAATTATAACGGAAATGTTTAGAGGATCTGACTTACAGTGTTATGACTCAGCTCTGCCATGAACTAGTGGTTGCCATAAAAAAGCTAACACTCGCCACACTGCCTAGCTGAGCTACTGCAGCATTTTCATATAATTTAGAAGTCAGTGGGGCCAACTCTGATATTTCTTGGATGAGGGGGAGACTTCTGCTTTCTCCCTTGACCTTCACACCCCAGTCTGGAACTCATTCTAGTGCCCACTCATCACCTCCTTCCATTCCCAGGGATCCTGGATTTCCCTTGGCTGGGGAGTCTCTTACCTACACAGTGCATGACGCAGTGTTGCCAGGAGTCTAGAGCTCAGCAGGCTCCCTTGCATTCTGCCACTCAGGAACAGACTCCCCAGATGCACAAAGTCGCAACATCATCTGGCATGTCTGCCCTGCCATCTGGATGGAGGGATGGCCGAGCCAAATTTCAATGGCATTATGACCCTGGCCACCTGCCTGCAAATGCCACTCACTGGAATTTGGCCTGGTCTCAGCTCCCTCTGTATAAAGGAACACCAGTTTCAGTGGTGTGGTGACCGCAGAGCTGGAATGCTGCTCTGGATCACTCACTTACTGATTTAGAACAGGACCACTCAGGTTTTTGGGCCACAATTCCTCCTCCCCGCCAGCTCCATTATATATAGAATTTTCAGCAAATACAAAAACCTGGGGTCGGAGAGTAACACACCTCTTCCTATTGATAGGAAATAACACAGGCATCTTGGATTCTATGATGTGGTAATTGATGGCAAATGTTGATCCTTTAAGGGATACCACTATGTAAAATACAGGTTTGCAAAAATACTTGCTTCCCTGTGTGCTAGTTAGATACACCCCCCACTTTTTAAAAAATGTTACCCATAAGTCCTAATGACTTTAGTTAGTCATGAGCTCCTGTGTCATTTTGGGCCAGATTTATGCAAGTATTAGGTGTCTAAAGATGTAGACAGATGTGTAGTGTATTTTTTTAAAAAACCCAGTAGGCATCTGTCTACCTTTTTAGACACCTTATCCTTTTAATGGGAGTTAGACACCTAATTTACTGGGGCACATCTGAAAATGTTATTTTAAAAATAGATCAGGATAACAAACTAGCAAAAATTCTCAGTTCCACAATGCTCCAGTGCCTAGTAATCAACTATCAAAGCTTGGCATCCTTCCTCAGGAAAAAATCCCATGAGATCAGTGTTCTGAGTTTTGACTCAGTTGAGACTTGTAAAGTTTGGTCCACAAATAACTCATTCCCCACAAACACCCTGAAACGTGGGGATGCCTGTGTCCAGAACCAGCCCCCAAAGCACAATTGACTCCTTTCCCTTCACCAGGATGAACCCAAAGCTTGAACTGAAACAGCCTCATTTGGTTCTTATTCTGTAGCTTGGATCCATCTCTACTCTGAGCAGAAACTCAATTGCAAAGAGATATTTGTACCAGAATCAGACAATAACAAAGATAATTATATTGGAGGGAAAGGGACTGGATATTGATATTTTTGTCGTTTTTGGACCTGGGCTTTGATACTGTACATCAACAGGCAATCCTACAAGGAGGCATGAATGCCATGCTGCCTCTTTAGGTTTTTACTCTGTAGTAGAGTTAGTGCTTGTCAGTGCACTGTACACTTAAGCACATTTTTAGATTGGCTAAAGTAAGAGCCTGTCAAAGGTAAAAAGTCCCTGCTGTTTCTGAACAGGATAAAATACTGTAGTTTTGTAAAAATTACTCTGGACAATTTGCTAGATTATATATCCACCCTCTAAATGATGCTGTAGAGGAGAAACCAGACAATGGAGAGTGGATTGTCTGCTCTGTCTCTCTGGTCGCCCTGAAACATCTGTTAGCTAGATGGCTGGCTGACCGTACTAAATCAAACACCCATCTGCCAGATCTGCACTGCCCCATGTCCCTTGCTGAGGATGGATTGCGAATGCTGCTGAGACAATAACTGGTACAATCCCAACTAGTAGTCTTGGGGTAAGATATATTTGTCTCACGTTTCTGAAAGTGCCCAATGAGTCGGGTTACTCGTGACTGCCTGGGTAATTTTCTGGTAGTGCTGGCTACGCCGGGAGATTGATAGACAGATAGAAACCATCTGTCTGCACTTCTGTCACACTACACCAGGTCCTGAACTGCCATAAATCGCCATTGCTTCATTAAAGTCAAAGGAATGATGATTTACGCCAACTGAGCATCTGGTTCACAATGTCTTCCCATTGTCTGAATCCAAAATGAACAGAAGAGCTTCCCCTTCCTTGTCTCATTGAGAAACGAAGGTGTCCTTTAAATAATGAGCTTTATTTTCATACATAAATCAAGGCAGTCTTTCAGTGCTTGCTGCTGACCGTTCTAATCAGAGCCTCACACTGGCCTCTGGGGGTCTACTGTGGGTCCATACTGGTGTACAGGAGAGCGGAATTCAGTCCTCACATTTCACACCATCAGGACATTTGACATGTGGCCATGTGCATTAAGATGAACTGGCTTAAACATGCTGTTAAGCCATCAGCTAACTAAGGGAAATCAAATCCTGGGAGGCGCAAATATTAGTTTAAGAACAAACTGAACTGTCCTGCAGTGTATTTTGAATGCTCGTGGCCTTGTTTATTTTTTAATCATGTGTTTGTCATTTGTTTTGATATTTGTTAACAAAAAGCGGGGGAGGGTCGGGATTAGAGGAGGAGGCTGTCCTGCCTGCTGAGTGATAAAATGTCATTTCTTCCACCATTCCCACCCCTCCCTTTCTCGTTGGCTGGAGATCACAGCCTTCCAATGCCTTTGGCACTCAGCATGCAGGAAAGTTTTCTAGCAGGAGCATCTGGCTCCCTGGCAGACGCCTCAGGCAGTTGTGTTGGCAGCTTTGCAGCTTCCCCTGGGTCTGTCCTGTGGTCAGGCCACTGATGAGCTGCTGGAGCTGCCTTGATTTTTGAGAAGCCATTTAGATTAATAGGGTCTACATGCCGTCCCCATACTCACCATAGATTTGGGTTGGACCCTGCTGACAGAGTCTGCTCTAACTGAAGTTGAGGGGGAATTTAGCTATTTACTTCAATGGGAACAGGGTCAAGCCATAATAAACCTGAGATGCACAGTGTGTTTTGACAGTTGTCTCTTAGCGTCCATATGAATTTTCCACAGAAATCCGAGGGCAGATTTTAAAGCACTGGTTTGGACTCCTAGCAGCATTAAGTCCCCAATTTTACTGAAATCAGTGGAAGCTTTGCCAACAGACAGATGCTTTCACTATTAGGGTTTTTATTTGCTAAATCTAGGCTAAATGTTTGGACTCCTCTCTGCTAAGGTGGATGTTCCATGGTGCACTTGTTGGCTACGTCTAGACTGGCATGATTTTCTGCAAATGCTTTTAACGGAAAAGTTTTTCCATTAAAAGCATTTGCGGAAAAGAGCGTCTAGATTGGCATGGACGCTTTTCCGCAAAAGCGCTTTTTGTGGAAAAGCGTCCATGACAATCTAGACGCGGTTTTACGCAAGAAAGCCCCGATCGCCATTTTCGCCATCGGGGCTTTTTTGCGCAAAACAGTTTTTAGCTGTCTACACTGGCCCTCTTGCACAAAAACATTTCCAGAAAATGGCTTTTGCCTGAATGGGAACATGAAAGCAATTGCACAAGAAGCACTGATTTCAGACGGTAGAACGTCAGTGCTTTTGCGCAAAATCAAGTGGCCAGTGTAGACAGCTGGCAAGTTTTTGCGCAAAAGCGGCTGCTTTTGTGGAAAAACTTGCCAGTCTAGATGCAGCCGTTCAGTTGTGATGCACATTACTAATTAACAGTGTGCTTGGCTGAAGCTAGTGTAGACACACAACAGTAAATCACGTGTAGCAGCTCTCATTAGTGTTCTTTTCAAAAGGCTCCATCTTCAAAGCTGAGGGGACAATTTAGTTTGTGTTCCCCAAACCTGTCCAGTATTTCTAGTATTGCTGATAATTGTCTAGATTAGGGATGTTAAAATATGTTTGTTTAGATGAACGTGTAACTGCTGAAAACTTTAACAGTTACATGTTCACATGCGGGGGCGGAGGAGCTGATACAGAGGCAGCAGCACCAGGGAGGAGGAACCTGCATGTAACCATGAAGGTTAATGGTTAACCGTTTACTCTTCACACCCCTAGTCTAGATACTGAACCGAGGCCACTTCTGACCATTAGAATAACAAGCTTCACTTGTTACTGATCTGGGCCAGAGTGGAATCAGTGCTCATGGCTCATAAATCTCCACTCCTGATTAGAGTTTGAAGTGGAAAAAAATATTTTCTTATACATGTCTCTGCACCTTTTCTAGCAGCTTTTACCAGAAAATCAATAAAACAGAGTTTATTACAAATTTCCATGGCTCCTGACCTACAAAATTCAGCACAAATTCAATTTGCTTAACCAAATTGGGCTATTTTGAAATTCTTTTGGGGAAAAACATATTTTATAAAACCACTGCAGTCACTCAAAAGCATTACCAGTCTCCTGTGTTGCCATCACACAAAAACCTCTTTAGATATTCAGTTAAAAGTGAAGTCCACCTGTTACATTTATATAGCCCTATGGTTAATTACATCGAGACGGGATTTGGCTTTGAACCTCATTTCTCTTGTGGCATATTTAGCAAAGAAATATAAAGTGTTAAGATTGTCAGTGTAGAATAAAATGCAGTGTCACACAAATCTGTCCGTTTTGAAGATGGTGCACCAGGGAGGAGAAAACAAATGACGTATGCAAGTAACATAAAATAATATGATAATTTCTCATCTTGATTTCTCAGGCATCCCTGGAGTTTTATTACAGTAAAAGGAAACCCTTCCTCTTCTGTTGAAGACCACATTGACTATCCAGGTAATGCACTAGCAAATGCTTGCTTGAAAATGCCTGGGAAAGTTCCTCCCTGGTATAATTCCATGGAAGCCAGTGGAATTATGCAATGGGTGAATTTGTTTCATGGCATTTGTACTGTCTGACGCTATACTACACTGAAGTTGTGAACCGGAGTTAGAGAAGTGTCTTATCTCCTTACGTTATCCCCAAATTGTCATCCAGTTTATGGGATTTGACACAAGCTGCTCATACACAGAAATAGAAAACCAGATTCTCAGCTAATATAAAACAGTATATCTCCACTGAAGCCAGATTATATATCTACCTTTTTGGCATAAACCAGTGGAACTATCTCTGTTAACAAGGAATGTAAATCTAAGGCGTGATATTATACCATCCTACTCAAAACCCTGCAGTCTATTAATGTTAAGGTTATTTGTTGCGGAATACCAAAGTATTTTCTAAATGAAGATAGTGACTTTTTTGTCACAATGTAATGCAGCAAATAAAAGATACCAAATAAACAAATTCACCTTTTTATTTTTATTTTTTGAGAATTCCTCTGCAAACACAAAGTCTGAGGAGAAGGAAAGGGTCTGAAAAAATTATTTCAAGAGCAGGAACTCTTCTGCTGGAAACTTTGCAGGCAATTATTGAATCTGCTCTAGTCTTCCAAGAGAGACAAACACAGGCTTGCTACATTGCCTATACATTCTTATCTTCTATCATTTGCAAACCATGGAATTGTTAATCATTGTTTTACAGGACACAAAGGATCAGCTGTGGCCAAAGTATTCAAACTATTCCAGGCTGAAAATGGAGAGCATTTTAATGTGTCTTCAACCAGTGAGTGGGTTCAAGGTGAGACATCGGTTTGCCACCTACCAGAGTAGCTAAGCCAATACAGTGCTATTTACTACATCAATTGCTTTTCCTCTATTTAGAAACAGAGGGTCCGATATCTGACAAAGGTTGCCTTTAACCCAAACAAGAACACAAGCAGAATCTTTGTTTCCAGCTTCTGCAAGACTCACTGTATAATTTGAATCCTTTGTCTTTTTTTGCATTGAATATGAAAGTTTATCTGTTAAGATCAAACCAATACACGCCTCATTATTTCTTATGGTTATGTGGTCACCACTTCTCAGATTGGCGTCTTCAGTCTACGAACAACAACTGATTGCACTGTGACTTGAATAGAAACAAAAGGCAAAAGAGAGGAGGGCAAAATTTGAGTTCCACAGCTGATAGAAATGCTCATGCTACATACTCAAACCATGTAGCTGTTGTTCACTTCATGCTCCCTTGCCTTGCTACAGTTCATAGCATGGTAAAGCAGTGGCCAGACTGTCAATGAGAGCCAGGAACTAGGCAGTTATTGAAGAAACTTGTTAATAATATTGGAAACTAAATTCTGCAAAGTGCCGTTTTGCTGCATTAAGCTTGGCTTTCTATAAAGTGACCTTTCCTGTGTGTGCTTGTCTCCAGATGTAAAGTGGACAGAGTGGTTTGAGAAGCCCCAAAAGACAAGATCCAAAGACACAGAGAAACTTTCTGATCTAAGGGCGGCAAATCCAAGCAAAATCTGTAATCACCCCATTGATATCCAGGTAGGACAAACTCCCCATTTCCCCTATGGATTAACTTGCCTGATGTGCAATTGCAAACAACCAACTGCAGCATCAAAGTCAAGGAGGTTCTAGTAGACCTCAGACCTTCTTGGTGACAGTGTCAGAATGTGAATGCATTTGATTTCTGCAGGTGTCAGCTGCCTTGATGCTCTTCTATGTAGATTGGCCACAATGCTGGCAAATTTTTAACATTAATGGAAGGCATGTACAACAAACGATTCCTCTGTTTGAGTCTGATACTGCAACCCTTATTCACACAACCAGTCCCAGGTCAGTCAATAGGACTACTGGTGTGAGGAAGGGTTGTAGAACTGGACCCTTTTCTTCAAATTCTCACTTTTGGAATCTGGAGTGCTATAGATGGGGCTGTGAACAGTCTAGATGCTGCTACAAAATATGTGGTTTCCTACAGGAAGATAAAGGGGGTAAGCAAAGCATGGAAATGTTTTTAAGGGTCTAAAATGGCCTTAGAATGTAAACTATTGGAAAAAATAAGCACAGAATGTGACCTTATATTAAAACTGCAGGTTACATTAGGTTATGGGGGGAACGTCTTTGGGAATATCATTTTTAAAGCTTTTTCTTTTGCAGAAAAAAGTTTTCCATACAGTGCTACCCATGTAACTAAATCCTGGAATGCACATGTTGAAGGGAATACATGTGCCAATTGCAAAAGCGACTTGATGTCGTGTGACGGAAAAATTGTTTTTATTGGCAAATTCCTACTGCAAAGTCCAGTTGATAAAATGATGCCACTCAAGTGCCACTTAAACAAAAGTCAATAAAATGATTGGTACAGTTGGGTTTATACAGGACTGGCTTGAGCATTAAGACATGCAGGAACTGATTCAGCAAGTTCACCTGAAGAGCCTGTGCTCACAAGAATAGTTGTGTTGAATTGAATTGGATTACTCACGCAATAAGGGCTACTTTGTATGAGTAAGGGCTTCCAGAACTGACTCTTCAATTTAATCTCATAGTGAACAACAAGGGGAGAAAATCTGTTCCACAAGTACTTGCCAGGGCTATGGTAAAACTGACTCCAGATGCATTTCAGCCTTTGTTCATGTGTTGGAAGAGGGATTTCAGCTCAGAACATGAGCCTCTAGGCCAGATACTAATTTAACAAATAGCGGCTTTTGTTAATATGTATCAAAACAAGAAACACAATATTTTTCTTTTCCTGAAAAGTTATAAATCATGAGCTTCTAAATCCTCAGCTGACGTAAATCAATGTAACCCATTGACCAGCTGAGAATATTGGATGATCATAATTAACCTGTCCCAATGATGCTAAGGAAGACACAAAGTAGAGCACAAAATTTGAGGCCATTTCTTTAGAAATAGTCCCATAGATGGCAGTGCCTATCTATGATGGAGGATGATTGCAGTAGGAATTGCGGGATCGGACTCCTAATTTAGATGGTGACTCATGTCTGATCCTAGTGCCTTTTTTCAGTGAAGGTTATTTGGCTGGACCTATCCAATATAGCACTTTTATGCAGTAGCAAAAAGGGTTGCAAACTGAGGTCTGGGCTGTGGTATTGAAGCCCTACTCTTAGGGGGGATAATATGGACTGCACTGCCCCAAGAGGAATGCATACTCTAGTATTGAATCATACCTCAGATGGTGTAACCTGATCCTCTCCCAGCATTTCCAGCCAGCTCCACAGGCTGGATTGTATGTGGGAAAGCAGAGACCTCTTCTTGCCCTCTTTGGGGCAATCTGTGACCTCATGGTGAATGGGGAGCGTTCCGAATGCTTTCTGAATATAGAGATCGCAGTTATCCCTGGTCTTTCTAAAGAGGGAGGATTCCCACCTCTTTCTCCTGTGAGGATCAGACACCATTTGGTCCCAGGTAATGAAATGAGAAGTTAAAATGCTTGAAAGCCATGAGTTTATTTAGCCCTCTAATCTGATCTCAGACTTGCAAAGATCTAAAGTCAAGTAGGAAAACAGGGCAATGGTAGCAAAGCTCAGAATACTGTTAAAAAAAAACCAACCAACAGAGTCCTAATATAGATGTGGGAGTGACACAATTCATCTAAAAATAAGTCCAAGTGGTCTGCATATAAAAAGTTATGGTGCATGTACCAACTAGAATATATAACTGGATTTGACCTATGATCATTCATCCTGTTTCTGTTATGTGATCATTGTGCACCAACTAAATGCTAAGGTGAGAAACCTCTTTCTATGTAGAGAGCAAGTGAGAGGTGAATGCGTTCATGTTTCATGACCAACCCATGTGCCTTTCTATTCTCATCCTAGGCAGTTACACTTTCTGGAGCCAATTTAACAACTGAGGTTTTCTACAAAAACGGCCACGATTACAGGTTTCTGTGCCATGGTCCGAATCAGACAGACGAAGGCTGCCAAAATTACCGAGTGCGGTTCCTGTGTGGAAAACCCGGTATGTGACTCCCTTTTTAAAGCCCAGATGCCATGTCATTCAGAGCAGAAATCCCATTTTGAATTTTCCTCCTTCTGAGTTGGCTATTTTAGAGAGAGCAGAAATTCAACACCAAACACAATAATGCATTGGGGAAATCCTTTGATGTTGTATTCTTTGCTTTCTTCTGATGTTGGAGTCCCTGAGTTCCCTTCTGTGAACTTAGCCACAGCGAAATAGGATGAGCCAAACTGTACCTGACGGAACACCACCTACTGAGGTCAATGAGAGTAACCTCTACTTACTGTACAACTGACTTTGGTCCAATGTAGTTTCAAGATGGGGCAGGATCACTCCTTCAAGTGAGGAGACTGCATTTCTTGCTAATTAAGTTGGGAAGCAACATGCTTTTCAAAGTAATTATTTCTTTTGCAATTTTTCATGTAAGCAATATCTACCCTTATACCGGTCATTACACGTGATTTTTTTTTAAGATCATTTAGTAGGGAGATAAAGAGGGAAGGCAGTTATCTTTGATGGAAAAAAAACAATCATTATGTTAAAGACCACTTCTGGGAAGTTTATTGCTACTGTAAATAACTGCAGAACAACCACAAGGGCTGGAGTTAAGTGGGTGTGGTGGGTTGAGTCACTAACGGCTACATTTAAATTTAGTAAAATGGTTCATGGAAAATGTATTTGCCAGTAATTAATAAATGGGCCTTTGTTTATTCGTTTATGCTTTCACAAACCAAATTTAACCAAGAAAATATTTGGGAGAGTTGTGTTGTTTGTGTAGGATCAGTAAACTGCTTAACTATTGTTGGTGTCAAAAATGCCCAGGAAAGTTAGCTGACAGCTTAAGGTTCGGTGAGCTGAACTCTCTGTCATCCTCATTTTTGCTTTCTAGTGAGACCAAAGCTTACAGTAACCATTGATACCAATGTGAACAGCACAATCCTAAGGCTGGCAGATAATGCACAATCATGGAAGGCTGGAGATAAACTAGTTGTTGCCAGTACGGATTATTCCATGTATCAGGCAGAAGAATTTCAAGTCTTGCCCTGCAGAGCCTGTAGGCCTAACGAGGTCAAAGTATCAGGTGAGGAATTTATTTTGTTATTTGCATGTAACCATGGGCACATTCTTGTTTCCTTCATACCCAAGCAGCTGCATAGATGTGAATGAGAGCTTGGCCTTCAGTTGACTTGTATTATTGTGAAAACCCATACTGTTTGCTATTTGAAATTCACCTAACATCTGTAAGTGATGATAGTGTCTTCTGGTTTATCTGTGGGCTTTCCATTTTTCATCCTCAGCATCCCACTCTTGATCTTGTCTCCCAAAACCTTTGCAGGGTGGGCCTAAGCTTACAGGGTTTAAAGGATGTACATGCTCTAGAACAGGATCATCTCTGTACAGCATACAATGAAGTCCTTTCTTTCCAAAAGGAGAGGAGGAAGAGGAGCAGGTCATGAGAAATTTTTAGGGCTCTACATTATCGCAGAGTGGTTTTTTTATGCCATGCTAATCTATTTAGGTAGAAACACAGTATCACATTTTATAAAAACACTATTCTGTTAGTGAACCTACCATCTGTTTTTAGTATCTATTTACACCACATCACACAGTGGAGATGTGTTAACTATGTGTCTCTAAAGTCACATGAACAGCCCTATAATCTCAGTGCTCGAGTAAACCAGAGTCGACACAGTGCTTGTGTAAACCAGAGTTGCTGTAGAATGCTGAGTGAATTGATCTGAGACTGAGGAAATGGGAACGTGGGTACAGTAATATTGACCCCAAAATTGTGGTTTGGGGGTTTTATTTGTTTTTTTCCTCTTTTCTGGGGGATTAGCTTAAACCTGCACAGGCTATAGGTGGTGAAAAATAATTGCTCTCTAATTCTTCTCCCATCATCTCCATGTTCTCAGTCTAGTTCAAAAAAGAAAAAAAAATACAGCCACCACAAAGTGGCTCCTTATTGTCAATTTCAGCAGAGAGGCAAAGATGGTGGAGAGAGATTTTTTCCAAAGCACAAGAAATGGCTTTTCAGACTTCCTTCAAGTCTGTGAAGTTCTTTCCCTTTTGGCACACTGATGTGTTGTGTGGAGAAACATTGCATCAGTTAACCTTTGTGTCAATGGATGGAAGACTTTCCAGTACAACAACAAAAATTGAAGTAAAAAGTAAAAGATGTATCATAGCTGAGGCTTATGGTGATATTTGCATGGGTTTAATTCAGACACATTACATTGCCAACAACTGCCAATGTTTAAGTGAGAGATGATGATGGTGAGTCATATTAATTTGAGGAGAGATTTGTAACATACGTTTACAATACATTCATTGTGAGAGAACCTACCCCTTAGAACAATCCGTGTGCCAGACAGTTTACACAGCTCTGTGATATTAACTACTTCATGCACTATTATCTCTGATGCAGCTCTTTCTGAAGGATACAAGTGGTTTCCTCCAGCACTGGCTTTTTGGAAGGACTTTAGTCATTCATTGTTCAACCAGCAAAAAGAGGAATACTGGTTAAGCCAAAAAAAATATTATTCTGACTTTGAAAGCATCATAGTCTTATGACTTAAGATGACAAGCACTCTCCCAGAGAATGCGCCTACAAACTGAATATTATTCTCGTGAAACACTTGAGCTATTGGAAAAACAGCATCAATTGCTAATGATGCAAAGTACATTGTGAGAACAATTTTGGAAAATAGTCAATACAAATGAAGGCCACAAATTAATACATTTCTAAAACTCTATTTGTATCTTACCAGATCTCTATTTTTAAAATTATTTATATTAATTTTGTACAACAGTTTCCATTGAGTTTAATATTAAGGGAAGTGTACAGATGGGGGGAGGGGGAAGAAACCATTGACTTCAAGTAGAGAGATCTAAGTGGAAATACTTGTTAAAGTATTTGTGCTCTATGTTTCCAATTAGTTTTTAGGAGAATTTGGACATCCCTTTTATTACCACAGATGACACACACTGAGGCCAAAGTCTGCCCTGACTTACATCCCTGCAACTCCATTGACGTCAATGGGATTGCACTGGTTTATATAAGTCAGGACACAATTTGACCCCATAGTAACTGCATCCAACTTTCTTGTAGCAAAATCTTAAACACTAAAAATAAAATGGAAGAATCCTGCATGACTGACACAGTTCAGCCTAGTTGAAGGGGATAATGAGAGAGATTAAAGTCTTCTCATGCGGATGGAGAGATAAATGCCTCAGTAAGTCAATGGAGTGTCCTGTACATAATCAAGTTGGGATTTCAGCCTTGAGATCTCATTCCATTCTTCTCTGTGACTGCAATTAAAATGACTTAGCAAGCCATGGGCCTGATGCTGCAGGTGAACAGTCCCATTCTATCATTCATATAACATGCCAGTTTGAGCATCGAGTTGTGTGCAGAAGAGACCATATTTTTTCCTGTCTTCCACAGTCTACTTCATTCTCCTCAGTTTTCCTTCTCCATTCCAGTGAAAGATCTTGTTTTAGAAAGATGTAAACACTGTTTGAGTTAGGAGCTTGGTATCTGCTCATTGGACATAACAAACAAATTCTACAAATAGTTCTCCTCATCATTAGATTTTGTTCCCTTGAACCAGATTGGTTAGTTAGGAAGGAAAGAACCAAACATAACCATCAGAACTAAACTACTCAAGTATCCATTTAACAATATGGCAAATATCCTCAGCATGTAAGGATTTTTATGGAACACCAGCTTGGTAGTACAAAAGTTTAGAACATTGATTATAATTAATATTTTAATATTTTTACAGATACCACTTTGGGTATGTTGTCAAATAAGTTAAACTACAGGGTGAACCTCTCTAGTCTGGCACCCTTGGGACCTGACCAGTGCCAAATCAGGGAATTTGCCAAACCATGGGAGGTCAATATTGTCTAGCAGCCTTACCAACACTTGCACTGGTTACTGGACTTTTTAGAGGTAAATTAGAGCTAAATAACAGCATAGAACACTGAGAGCCAAGACTAGGAGCTGTAAATAAACTTTATGGGTCTGTGGGAAACTTGCTACATGCGTGATAAGTGCACATCCAGCTAACTAAAATCATGCTGGACCATGGATGTAGCTGGATCAAAGAGTGCTGGACTAGAGAAGTTCAGCCTGTAGTTAGCCAGCTCATATACTATTTATATTTGACACTTCTGCTGAGAAATCATACTTGCTTTTCTGACTAGATGTAGCTTAAGCAACAGTTAAAAAAATGATTAGAGCACTCCAGGTGGGATTTTTAAAAGAGCCAACTCCCATTGGACTTCAGTAGGGTTTGGTGCCTAACTCTCTTATAGTCCTTTGAACATGCCAACCCAAATGGCTAAAACCAAATATCTAAAGCAGGCATCAAATGTTTACTCAGCTGAGTTGTACTGTTTTCAGATTTGTTACTTCCATGAGGCTCAAACTCGTAGAGGTCACCTGTTCCAGTAAAATTGGCATTTATTTAAATTGAGCTTCTCCTCCCCTCCCCTTTGTTTAACTGTCTTCACTTGTCACTTTTATGTCTAGTTTATTTTCCTGTGATATTAAAACTGTTTGATGTTTTATCAGTGGGCTTTGCAAAGCTGGGGAACACAGTGCAAGTCAGAGGAGAAGGAAGGAAGGGTTGTGTTATTACAGTAGAACAGGATAGGGTGAAGGATGAAGGATTTCTTGTGGTTCCCTCTGGGAAATCAGTCTTATCTGTATCTTTGTGGCGGTGTATGAAGTTACTAACCATGTTGAAAAGTTTCACCATGGGTAGGAATATACATGGTGAAACAACCTTTTGTGTATATACTGTACCTGATAAAGCATGATTTAAAACAAAAGCAAAAAACCCTATCTGAGGTTGACCTAATTACTCAAATTATCCCACTCATTAGTAAGTCTGTGATTATCTGTGATTGTAACTGCATAACACATTCACATCTGGAATTCAACTGATAGGGCTGGCAAGATTGAATAATTGTGGAGTGCTACTGAGTTTACTATCTGGTAATGCTAAAATATGGAAGTAGAGCTTTAGAATTAGAACAGATATAGGGACACTTTCTCCATTCTGGCTCCTCTACAAGAGTTGGCATATTGATTTTTTTCTACACTAAGCTAGAAGGACAATTCTTGATCTCTTGTCTTTTAAAAGATGCCAGATGCCTTCATCTCCTCAAAAGCTATTAAGCTGGATTCTACATTGCAGATATTTACACCAGGGCAAAGTGTTTAAAATGCTCTTGTTCTTTTTTGAATCACTTTGTACTAGCTGTGCCCTTTAAAAGACTGCAGAAGCTGTAGGGCAATGGAGAGTCAGGTCCCCAGTGTTCAGGCTTTATATTCATCCAAAAGTTTGGGTGCTGATTTAAACTCTCCATACCTTTTCCAGGTGCGCTGCGTTTAGCTTGGAAACCTCAGGAGACCATGTTTCTTGAGGGATTTCTGGCACCGAGTTGCTTAAGGCCATTTGGGAAACCTCACACACAAGGCTTTCTGGCCATCTTTCAAATGCTTCTTCCTCTAGCTCTGGCCATTGTCTGGCAGCATGTGTAAAGAAAACACCCTGAATAAATAAATGAACCTCGCATTGCAAAAAAGGGCGAGAACTCATTTGATTTTTAGAAATGGAGAAAAGGGAGAAATTCTTAATATTTCTCAACCAAAGCTCTGTCAGCCACATTGGACTACCTAGACCAGGTGCACATATCAAGGGGAATTAGGAAAAAAAACAGGATGCTCTCAAGAGGGGGCCTATTGGTTTATACGCAAGTACAGGAAAAACCCTAATATTGATTATAGGAAGAACTACCCTGTTGTTAGCAAAGCAGAAAGCACTAAAGAACAATTGTAAGGCAATAAGACAAGCACCCACACACTTAACAGTTGATATTAATACAATTTATTACAACCCTCAGGAGATTAAATTGTGTGCCACAAGCAGAGAATAGAAGGCTCTGAGATGTATCCGTGCTGGAGGCCTAGATAGTCCTGGAGTGGGGAGGGAGGCAGAGAGGGCAACTGGCCCGGGTCCAGCGATTCAAAGGGGACTGGGGCTCTCAGCTGCGATCACTGGTACTAAA